TTGGTCCTTGCCTGTTAACAATCTTGTGTACACAATGTAGACTAGTCATTTGGTCCTTGCCTGTTAACAATCTTGTGTACACAATGTAGACTAGTCATTTGGTCCTTGCCTGTTAACAATCTTGTGTACACAATGTAGACTAGTCATTTGGTCCTTGCCTGTTAACCTGTTAACAATCTTGTGTACACAATGTAGACTAGTCATTTGATCCAAGCCTGTTAACAATCTTGTGTACACAATATAGACTAGTCATTTGGTCCTTGCCTTTTAACAATCTTGTGTACACAATGTAGACTAGTCATTTGGTCCTTGCCTGTTAACAATCTTGTGTACACAATGTAGACTAGTCATTTGGTCCTTGCCTGTTAACAATCTTGTGTACACAATGTAGACATCATTTGGTCCTTGCCTGTTAACAATCTTGGGTACAAAATGTAGACTAATCACTTGGTCCTTGCCTGTTAACAATCTTGTGTACACAATGTAGACTAGTCATTTGGTCCTTGCCTGTTAACAATCTTGTGTACAAAATGTAGACTAATCATTTGGTGCTTGCCTGTTAACAATCTTGTATACACAATGTAGACTAGTCATTTGGTCCTTGCCTGTTAACAATCTTGTGTACACAATGCAGACGTCATTTGGTCCTTGCCTGTTAACAATCTTGTGTACACAATGTAGACTAGTCATTTGATCCTTGCCTGTTAACAATCTTGTGTACACAATGTAAACTAGTCATTTGGTCCTTGCCTGTTAATAATCTTGTGTGCACAATGTAGACTAGTCATTTGGTCCATGGCTGTTAACAATCTTGTGTACACAATGTAGACTAGTCATTTGGTCCGTGGCTGTTAACAATCTTGTGTACACAATGTAGACTAGTCATTTGGTCCTTGCCTGTTAACAATCTTGTGTACACAATGAAGACTAGTCATTTGGTCCTTGCCTGTTAACAATTTTGTGTACACAATGTAGACTAGTCATTTAGTCCTTGCCTGTTAACAATCTTGTATACACAAGGAAGACTATCCATTTGGTTCTTGCCTGTTAACAATCTTGTGTACACAATGTAGACTAGTCATTTGGTCCTTGCCTGTTAACAATCTTGTGTACACAATATAGACTAGTCATTTGGTCCTTGCCTGTTAACAATCTTGTGTACAAAATGTAGACTAATCATTTGGTCCTTGCCTGTTAACAGTCTTGTGTACACAATGTAGACTAGTCATTTTTCCTTGCCTGTTAACCTGTTAACAATCTTGTGTACACAATGTAGACTAGTCATTTGATCCTTGCCTGTTAACAATCTTGTGTACACAATATAGACTAGTCATTTGGTCCTTGCCTTTTAACAATCTTGTGTACACAATGTAGACTAGTCATTTGGTCCTTGCCTGTTAACAATCTTGTGTACACAATGTAGACTAGTCATTTGGTCCTTGCCTGTTAACAATCTTGTGTACACAATGTAGACTAGTCATTTGGTCCTTGCCTTTTAAAAATCTTGTGTACACAATATAGACTAGTCATTTGGTCCTTGCCTTTTAACAATCTTGTGTACACAATGTAGACTAGTCACTTGGTCCTTGCCTGTTAACAATCTTGTGTGCACAATGTAGACTAGTCATTTGGTCCTTGCCTGTTAACAATCTTGTGTACACAATGTACACGTCATTTGGTCCTCGCCTGTTAACAATCTTGTGTGCACAATGTAGACTAGTCATTTGGTCCTTGCCTGTTAACAATCTTGTGTACACAAGGTACACGTCATTTGGTCCTTGCCTGTTAACAATCTTGTGTACACAATATAGACTAGTCATTTGGTCCTTGCCTGTTAACAATCTTGTGTACAAAATGTAGACTAATCATTTGGTCCTTGCCTGTTAACAATCTTGTGTACACAATGTAGACTAGTCATTTGGTCCTTGCCTGTTAACAATCTTGTGTACACAATGAAGACTAGTCATTTGGTCCTTGCCTGTTAACAATTTTGTGTACACAATGTAGACTAGTCATTTAGTCCTTGCCTGTTAACAATCTTGTATACACAATGAAGACTAGTCATTTGGTTCTTGCCTGTTAACAATCTTGTGTACACAATGTAGACTAGTCATTTGGTCCTTGCCTGTTAACAATCTTGTGTACACAATATAGACTAGTCATTTGGTCCTTGCCTGTTAAAAATCTTCTGTACACAATGAATACTAGTCATTTGGTCCTTGCCTGTTAACAATCTTGTGTACACAATGTAGACTAGTCATTTGGTCCTTGCCTGTTAACAATCTTGTGTACACAATGTAGACTAGTCATTTGGTCCTTGCCTGTTAACAATCTTGTGTACACAATGTAGACTAGTCATTTGGTCCTTGCCTGTTAACAATCTTGTGTACACAATGTAGACTAGTCATTTGATCCTTGCCTGTTAATAATCTTGTGTACACAATGTAGACTAGTCATTTGTCCTTGCCTGTTAATAATCTTGTGTGCACAATGTAGACTAGTCATTTGGTCCTTGCCTGTTAATCATTACTGATTATCTATTAATAGTCTGTAGTATAGCTGGTCCCACTCATTATAGTTGCAATATTTCTTCTTTATGTAGACTTTTAACTGAATGCCATTAAACAGACCAGTTGGGAATCACTTGACAAAGTCTGTATGTGCTATTCATATTTCATCATACACAATCACCTGCTGAATTTCATGCCTTCACTGAAATCTCCAGGACTAGCTTTAACTTGTCCTGACCTATTCAGTCCCAAAGAGATGGAAATTTCTGTGTTTGGGTTTTAAAAATGGCACAATAACTGGGAATTACTTTCTTCTCCTAAACCACTTGAATACCCGACCAGGTCAGAGTTTTGCACGACATGAGTTTTCCACTTGTTTAATTATATTATCCCTCAGTTTCAACATCATGCATAAATTCTCTGTCCACATGGACTTGATGGCATTCTTCCCATCTGTCCATATGGACTTGATGGCATTCTTCCCATCTGTCCATATGGACATGATGACATTCTTCCCATCTGTCCATATGGACATGATGGCATTCTTCGCATCTGTCCATATGGACATGATGGCATTCTTCTCATCTGTCCATATCGACATGATGGCATTCTTCCAATCTGTCCATATGGACATGGACATGATGGCATTCTTCCCATCTGTCCATATGGACATGATGGCATTCTTCCAATCCAGCCTCTCAATGTTTATTCAAGTGTACTAATATTACTTTGCTATCTCCATTCTTGACTCAAGAGCACTCATTCTTTCAAATGCAGAACTATGCTTAATTTATGTAGGTTCATAACTAAGCCCTGAAATAATGAGGTTGGAATCATTTCAATACTGTTATGACTCTAGGTCTTAAGTAACAGAATGAAAAGAAAATCATAATTTAAATAATATCAACAAATTATTTGTTTTTAACAAAGTATAAATTCAAATGAAATTTAAAGTATTGTAAATAAAATTTCTAATAGTTCTAAATATTGCATTACAAGCCAATAGAAAAGAATATTCTGAATAAATTCCAATAGTCTTGAATGTACTGATGTACCACAATGATGCAATTCAGCATTTCTTTAAAAGCCTTTTTTAATAAGTATAAAATATTGTGTTTTCAAATAGCAGTTAGTAATTCCAATGAATAATTTAAAATAAATAATTCCTCTCAATTTATATCTCAACAAAACTGATAACTAACAACAATTGGATTCCAGAGACTGGTGAAAGATAGGAATCAATTATTTGTTTATCAAGTCCCTATTTATACTAGACTTTTTCTAGAACATTCTGAACTAAAGCACCTATGAAAACATGTTATTTACAACTCAAAATCATGGACAATATGTAACTATCTAAACATGTTTAGTACAAACTATAATCATTGACAGAATTTAAGCACACAATAATATATATATATATATATATATATATATATATATATATATATATATATATATATAAAACACCTTCCCTCATAAAGAAAAAGATTTATATAATAAAGTTTTCTTTATAATATTTGTTCAAAGAGCACATGATAATATAATAATTAAAATTACAAAAGATATCTAATGAATATCTATTAGATTACTTTATAAAATAAATATGTACAAACTAAAGAAATATAGTTGAGTTGCAATCACATTATCTTTTCCTCTGATGTGGCTTATTAATGCTAAATTGTGTATTCCTGCAGCATCAAAGTTTATCTCAGCAACCTGTGACATTTGCTTTCATTTTGCTCATGAACATACTTGGGTTGTGATCTATGAATGCAATAATTGGAAGAGCTGAACTAATAGAGACTTCAAAATGTTGAGAAATCAATATCAAAGCCAAACATAACTTTTTAATTATTTACCAATTTCTCTAATTTTTGTTTAGTCTCTTATAATAACAGCAGCCTGGATGATCCATACCAGTCTTGTCTTTTATAATCAATACTCCACCAACCACCACCTCACTTGCACCAACAGACATTTTTAAAATTAACTGAAAAAATTTGGACCTGAAAGAACTGTGTGCATGGCTTTTAATTTGCCAAAAAATTCCTAAAATTTTTCATATCAATGAAACTTTGATTTCTTACAAATTTGTCAGAGGTTCAGAATTTATGGAAAATTCAAGCAAACTTTTTGAGATTATCCATCCATACCAAAATTGGCATCATTTCCTTTCTACTGAAAGCACTGAGACTTTGTAATTAGGCTTGACCTTAGATTTTGTGGTTTAACTTGATCTTGTCCCACCTTAGTTCCTAAAAATGTGAAACAATCACTTCAAAACTAACTTTTACTTAACCATTAGATTTGCAATGAACATCTGAATGGTCTACAAGTGATCTTTCTTGGCACTGTTGTAGATGAGATCATCAATGTATGGATTACAATTATGCAACACTGTTAACATAGTAGTAATATGGTTTATGCACAAGAATACATGGTGAATTCATTATTCTTACTCAGTTCTTTAAAATCCTTCTCTTTTACCACTCTGGTGGCCTAGTGGTTAGAGTGTCTGCCTATAATGCGGAAGGTCATGGGTTCGATCCCGAGCCAAGTCATACCAAAGATTTATAAAAATGGGGCTAATAGCAGCCTTGCTTGGCACTCAGCATTAAGAGGTTAGTGTTAAGACTGGTTGGCCAGGTGTCAGATTATATGACCAGGTGGGATATGATGCTACATGTCTGAGGCATGATGCCTCAGTGCCAAAGACATCAATATAAACTGCCACACTGCAGACATCATAGCAATTTGAATGAAAAATTGTTAAAGCTACATTAAAAAATCCAAATCACATCACAAAATCATTCTCCAATATATACTGACTTTCCTTCATCAAATATTCATGTGGCTGGAAGAATACCAGACAAAAATTACATTTTGTTTTCAGACAAAATGCAGTTTGAAATTTTCATTTGGGTCTTGTCATAGATCAATTTGTATTAAACTGGCATTAATTAAAAAAAATGAATGCAAAAGATGTTCCAGTTAATAGACTTGTTTGCATGCAAAGAATCATTAAGGTGAAATTGAAATCAAATGCCCTGCCAATGTGCCTAAGAAAAGACTTAAATACAAAATCTATCTGAACAGTTAAACACAGGTAATGATATGAGCTTCATCTACATTTATGACATGGCATAAAATTAAAGAATAAAGGACAATTTTACGTAGGATTGACACACTGTCAGCAACAAACAACAGCCATCAAAAGGTCAAGATGGTGGAATTTAAGTATCATGTGTCAAAGTACTTAGATGATGATTATGTTACCACCATGAGTTACCCTAATCACTATATGTTACCCTAATCACTATGTGTTATCCTAATAACTGTGTTATTCTAATCACTGTGTTACCCTAATCACTATGTGTTACCCTAATCACTATGTGTTATCCTAATCACTGTGTTACCCTAATCACTATGTGTTACCCTAATCACTATGTGTTATCCTAATCACTGTGTTATCCTAATCACTGTGTTACCCTAATCACTATGTATTACCCTAATCACTGTTACCCTAATCACTATGTGTTATCCTAATCACTGAGTGTTATCCTAATCACTGTGTTACCTTAATCACTATGTTTTATCCTAATCACTATGTGTTACCCTAATCACTATTAGTTACCCTAATCACCATAAGTTACCTTAATTATGAATTGGTAGGGGTTTAACCTGATTTTTCAGTACATGATAGGCAATTCATGGTAGCTAGTATATTTGGTGGAGGAAGAACTCAGGAAAGCTCTTGGAAGAAATATGGGAAGCTAATGGCAGGCTTTCTCACATGTTGGCCAAACTGAAACCCTTGCAGCTTGAGGTTAGATGTCAGTTATCTGTAAACTTGAGCAACTTAGAACACTCATCCAAATCTTGAACTGATGAAAACTGAAATAAATTATTTTGAGTGTTAAATGATGATTAATAATATCCTGTCATTTGAAGTAACAATTTTACCAACTTCTACTGGCGTGGACTTTAAAGACTGCATCCCTCATGATGACTTTTCAGTCAGGTATGAATTATACATTTTCTATGAAATTTATCTTTGTTTGTTCTATGACTACTCTTGCTGAGATTTATATGCAAAGTTTAACATTCAGTGTGCCAGGAGTGTTCCTGTAATAGCAACATGTGCCTATTTTTTCAAAGGAATCTTGTTGCAGCAAGGGCAGTGTATCTCCCTGCACCTGGAACTGCTGGTTTGTACTTGCAAATAAGCTGTGCATCTATCTTTGCCAGGGACTGCCACTAAATACCTGCAAAATCTGTGCATCTGTCTGCACCAGGGTCTGATGCTTAAAACAATAAATTTATTTTCATGCATTTCTTAGTTTTCCAACATGAATTTTCACAAGTATTAAACCTTTTAGTCTTGTAAAATGAATCTTTTATTATAAATTTGATAATAATCCAAGAATGAATTTATCAAAAGTATTGTTAAAACCCTAAGATGGCTCTAATGATTATTTTGGGAAACAGAGGTTCTTGAATACACTAAAGTTTTAACCCACAGTATTATAAAATAATATTTCTAAATTGTATAAAACATATAAAGGAAGTCTCACCTATCCATGTTTTCTTATAGCTTCCTAATGTTCTTCAGGCATTCTTGTGCTCAACTCAGATATCTGACATTTGGACATCATATGAGTTGAATCAAAGACTAAGTTTTACCTCCAGTCTAGATCATCCATATTAGTGTGTTATGTATTTTATGAATCAGAAAGTGTACACAGATCTAAATATCCTTAAAAAATACTCACAGCAACATTTCTGATTTGACAACCTGCAAACCAGCGGAGCATCTCAATAATTGCCTGGAAGACTCTTGTTTTGTGCTCTGGAATAAAGATTATACAGAACATTCAAAGTAAACAAAGTCAGTTTATTTTCTTTCTGACAAGTGACATACTCTCTAATGACAGCGTAAAGAACATACCATGTTTCATCCATCAAACAGCAGAAAAGTCACAGAGCAGAAATGAAAGTGGGATAGAAATTAAAAACTGGAATGCAAACATAATTTTAGATAATAATTTAACATGTTAGTATTATTATCCAAAACATCTGTCTGTTTAATGTTCAAAGATAGGCATGTGAAAATGTATTTAAAACAATATAATCAGTGTGTTTTTAAATAACTGACTTACAGCTCATTATCAATATTAATGTCTTTAAAACTAAAGATTTTGTTGTAAAACACTGGATTCAACAGTACTGCAGGGTAGCAGATGCAGACCCTTTTGAAAAACTGCTTCAAAATTATTACAGAGTAATTGCTATAGATTGTGTTCAAACTGGATGAAACATTTAACAGTAATTCCTGCAGATTACATTCAAATTGGGTCCAAAATATAAGTTATAACCTAATGAATTTGCATATGGTAAACTGACAGAAGTCAGGGTTCAGTCAGTGTAGATTTGGTCAAACTAAAGGTATAAAATTCATTCTGTAACAAATGTGAGTTGACCAGCATTCCATCAGAATGACAAAAAAAAATAGTAACTGATTGACTGTGGCTGAAAGGTCAATTTAATAAAGGTGAAAAAAGGCATTGTAGAGTACAGCATTTAGTTTTGAGAAACACAGCTAATCCCATCATTCTCCATTGAATGGCTGTGTGTGAGATCACCCTGCTCTTTAATTATTACATTGCAACAATTTTGAATGTAACAGGGAAACATGGCATCTCACTGATGTTCTGGTTCAGTCCCTGGCATGGCATCTCACTGATGCTCTGGTTCAGTCCCTGGCATGGCATCTCACTGATGCTCTAGTGCTCTAGTTCAGTCCATGGTATGGCATCTTACTTATGTTCTGGTTCAGTCCCTGGCATGACATCTCATTGATGCTCTAGTTTAGTCCATGGCATGGCATCTTTACTGATGCGGTAGTTCAGTCCCTGGCTTGGTATTTCACTGATGCTCTGGTTCAGTCCCTGGCATGGCATCTTACTGATGCTCTAGTGCTCTAGTTCAGTCCATGGTATGGCATCTTTACTGATGCTGTAGTTCAGTCCCTGGTATCGCATCTTACTGATGCTCTAGTTTAGTCCCTGGTATAGCATGGCATCTTACTGATGCTCTAGTTCAGTCCCTGGCTTGGAATTTCACTGATGCTCTGGTTCAGTCCCTGGCATGGCATCTCACTAATGCTCTAGTGCTCTAGTTCAGTCCATGGTATGGCATCTTTACTGATGCTATAGTTCAGTCCCTGGCATGGCATCTTACTGATGCTCTAGTTCAGTCCCTGGCATGGCATCTCACTGATGTTCTAGTTTAGTCCCTGGCTTGGAATTTCACTGACACTCTGGTTCAGTCCCGGGCTTGGTATTTCACTGATGCTTTGGTTCAGTCCATGGCATGGCATCTCACTGATGCTCTAGTTTAGTCCCTGGTATGGCATCTTACTTATGTTCTGGTTCAGTCCCATCTTACTTATCTTCTGGTTCAGTCCCTGGCATGGCATCTCACTAATGCTCTAGTGCTCTAGTTCAGTCCATGGCATGGCATCTTACTGATGCTCTAGTTCAGTCCCAAATTTGTTTATGGACACTGATAGTTTTTTAAGTCTGCATAGTTTTTTAAGTGTGCCCCAGTTTACTTCACTGGTGGTAATGGCTGTAACTAAGAATGCCATGATTGTTCTGAACATTGACCATTCTCTGATTGTTCTTGGCTCTCAGTGCTAGTTTCAAGGTAAATCTATAGCTTTTCAGACTTTTCAGATCCAGAAAGTGTCCATTGTAATGGAAATCGGTAAAAAAACATGCAGTATGAAGAAACTCCTCAATGATGTTATTAGGTTATTTCTTAGTGCTATCATGGTATGAAAAGATCATCATTTTATAATTTTAAAAACATAAGCAGCTTCATTACCTTAAACAGTATATTTCAATGCAGTTTTATTTCTGCATGTCCAAACAAATTTAATTATGCATTGGTTTTTTTCAAAAGAAAAAAGTAAATTTTACAATAACTTATATGTTGATGAAAAACCACGTTGATCTTGGTTTTGTAATTTATCCAGTACACTAAAACTAACACAAATCATTTTTCTAAACTTTCCCAAGTTACCTGGGTATTTCTCCAGGCAGTTCTTCAATATCTTCTCCACCTGACTGAGTGTGACTGAGGCACCAAACTTCATTCCATCTTCTTTCTCCCACACCTCGTTTAGTTCTGGGATATGGGTGGCAGCTACCAAAACTGGATATTGCATGTTCTTTAGCTTGACCTCTACACCTAGGGAAAAAAGCATGTAATCTCATCATACTATGAATGTTTAGATAACAAGCAGGTATTCTCATCATACTAACTATTCATGTTTAGATAACAAGCAGGTATTCTCATCATACTAACTATGAATGTTTAAAAGCAAGAGACCCAAGTGAGTATCATATTATGTCCAACAGCCAAATGTAAGAGCAGTTTTATCTCAGTGAAGTTGATTGCATACATTACAAAAACTAGATTTTTATCTTTATCCATATTGGATCGACATTATTTGTTCAATGGTTAATGAAATATCATCAGAAGGATCTGTTATGAG